ACACACACATACGAAGAAACATGATGGGAAGACCTACGTCAATATGAAGACATAAAAAGTATCAGTAAGTGACAATGAATATATATTGTATATATAAATGGTTAGTTTTCATTGAATTCAATTGGATGTGAATTCATACTACTCTACTTATTTTGCTTTTTATGTTAATATATATACATGTATGTTTGGTGTATTGCAGCAAAACTACGTAGTCACGCAGGAGGCAGTTCGAAAATAATGCTTAAATGTGACACGTGACCAGATTTTTATATCTACAGTCGGAAGACATGATGCCAAAAATCGTGTTCATGGTGTTGGAGATCTCGCACAAAGCCTACCACGAATGCATGCAAGTGAGGCAAGACGTGAACTATTGTCGATTATAGAAGAGATGACCTGATGAGATACGGGGTTTGCACGCGCTTATTGAATATTTTATTAGAATTGAAGAACATTATATTAAACTTAAGTTTGACGGTTATGTAAGTGGAGTTAGATTTGATTGTTAAGTTGAATTTTTATAAATATTATTTGAATTTTAATTGTAGTTTGGTGATTTGAATATTCTTGGTTGTTTGGTGTTGTGGATTCCTGGGCTAGAGTAGGTTGCTATGGATGTTCTGTGAAATTGAAAAAATGGCAGCTTTCTGTATTCGTGCTGTAAAATTGGCGACGGATTTGGCGATGGAATATCATTTCCGTCGCTGTATGGTCAAAATACAGAAACGGTAGCTAAAACCGTCGTTAATCTTAGCGACAGAAATTTTCCGTCGTTAATTTCGTCGCCTCATTCCGTCGCGAATTCCGTCGTAGCCTAGCGACGGATTAAATAATCCGTCGTTAAACTTATTACTAACGAAAAAATAACGACGGAATACAAACCGTTGTTGTTTCCGTCGCTAGGCCGATTCCCTACGGAAATCAAGCTTTAGCGACGGAATAATTCCGTCGCGATTTCAGCTGTTTTTTGTAGTGCTTATTCAGCAGAAATAACATTTCAACCTCTTTCACATTTACAATAAACAGGCTTATCACTCACAACTTGTTACGATACATCAATCGAGATTGACCCAACAATCTCACTGTTGGAATATAAATAACTGTTTTTGGGCCACAACCACAAGCTTCAACTTTTGGTTGAATTGGTTCCTTGACATAGTATCGGAGCCTCGTTGACTAAGAGGTCACGGGTTCGAAACTCAGCGCCACCCAGTTTAAAAAAAATTAAGATTTCACGTGCAAGGCTCGAAAAAGATTACGCCTACACGTGAGGGGGCGTGTTGGAATATAAATAACTATTCTTGGGCCACAACCACAAGCTCGAGCTTTTGGTTGAATTGGTTCCTTGACACTCACCGACAGTTGAGATTTTATAATTCAATCCCATCCCATTGACATCAAGAAAAAAAATTTGGCCGAGCTTTTATCTTTTTTAACCCTAAGCCTCCTATTTAACTTGCAATGCTCTCTTGGTTGTAATTAAATTACCTAGCGAGTTTCGATTGAAAAAAATAAAACTCTATACAGATAACCCAAACCCATCGTGCATTGTCTCCTCCTTAACTTCCTTTGTGTCGAACACTCGAACACCTCTTTGCAGGGCTTGAATAATAGGGGCATCAGTGCACTCATTGCTTAGTTCATTCCCAGTTAAATAAGAAATTTGTCTAGTGCATATGAACTAGTGGGATAATGGAGATTTCATATCATATCATGGTGAATCTGAAAAAATTAAATATTATGACTAAATTATACGGCGTATCAGCTAATACCTTACTACTTGGTGTTGTGCGTATTTTTCATTCAAAAGATAAGCTGATTTTTGCTAACGTTTTTTTTGGCCTATTGATAGTCCATTTCTTTTTTTCCTGCTATACAGTTTCTCTTCTATCACGTCCCAAAGCCCCTTATCCTAATATAATTACTGATGTGTGCAGGACCAAACATACTGGATACAGGGCCAACTACAACTTGAAGACTATGGACCTATTCCTTATTATATCGGATGTACTACTTAACCGCAAAGTTGACTTCGATGAGGGTACTACCTTTCACTGCATGCAGTGCGGAGACAAAGATTCAACAACTGCAAAAAGGTTCATACTCTTATCATCTACAATATACATTACACTTTCACATCTTACTCCACTCTAACACAACTAAACAACTATACAGGTTAAGAATCTTTGCTCACATCAGTGATGAAAACAAAACAATACAGTTTACCCTCTTCACAAAAGATCTGAAAAAATAGCAAGATCGCTTGAACTGAACACACCGTTGGAATTAATTGACACTGATAATCTGAACAAAGGACTCGGCTCATTATACACCACAGTTGCTGTAAAGTTACAGCCACCCACATACCACAGAGGAGATAAAATATTTTCTTTATTATGCCTACATCAGCTTTCTTACCAACACACAAAGACTGCAGTTCTCAAGAGAAAAGAAAGAGCTGAAAGCAAAGATGACTGACCGATGTGGGGGAAAAGAACAAGAACATTTTCAGACCATCTGCTTCCAATAATGAAACTACAAGCCATGCTGAAAATGACATGTAGCCTGTGTCAATGTCATTTTCAAATTTTGTCAGGTCTCTTCTTGGCTTAAATAAATCACTTCTAAGTCGTAAGTCCATGTAAAATATATGTAATGCCATGCTACTTTAACTTTAACTTTTAATGCTTGTAAAATGTATGTTGTATAAGTGTAAACCCCTTTTGTCAAATACTATACAGCTTCTACCTGCTGCTACGTTCATGTACATTTTTTTCCTACTGGTACTTTACAACATATCTAATAAGGAATGCTTTTACTCTTATTAAATACAAACTTTTCTTACATATGATTGGGCGCACACACACGTAATGTGTCCCCTGCTAGTCTTAAATATAAGACCCTATGTCGTTTGACTTTCCATCATTTCCGATGAGCCAAAATTTCACCATTTTTTGGCTTTGGGGTGTGATGGAATAAATCAAAATGGATCTCTAAACTGTCTGCGCTTCTTTAATTAATGAAGTAGTAGTTAGTCAAGTAATGCAACTTTCGACGTTGAGCCAGGGGTCTCTTTAGAAACGACCTCTCTACTTTCGAGTAGAGGCAAGGTCTGCGTACACACACTCTCCCCAGACCCTGTTCTTGTGAGATTTAATTGGGTTGCTTTGTCCTTTGACTCGTTTCTTCTAGTCTTTTTGCCGTTTTCTTTCGTAACGGTGCTTGTCTACTGTGTAATCGAACAACTCTCATCCGCTCCGCTTGATTACTGTACACCGTCGAACGAGTCAATATACTTCGTTTTCTCATCAGTTCTTCATCGACCAAATATGCCGCTCTCTCTCTCTATCGTTTTTCTCTTTAGAAAATTTCAGAATTGATTGTCCTTAATCTTGTACTCAGTTGCCGGTGTATTCTTCTACTGCTGTGTTTCTTCCTCGACCAGGTACTGTGCTTTTATCTTCTTCTTCGTTTCCTTTGTACGTCTGATTTTTCTTTGCTTGTTGATTTGGAAATGATTTGATTTCTGAAAAATGAAAATTAAAAAACAATTTTACATGTACAGTATTTTACCAGAATGGGTTTGATTTCTAATTTTGCTGTTTGAAATTGTATCATATAAAGGTTCTTTGAAAATTTTTCCTGTTTGATTGTTTGAAATTGAATAAGGTGTTTTTAGGGGGAATAAAAACAAGAACAAAACTCTAATCTGATTTTTTATATTTGTATTAAACACATTCATACCAACTATTAAAAATATTGTTTCAGTAAACATGTCTACAGATTTTTTTTGTGTCATAAAGCCATAAAGCAGCAATTTATAGTATGATAAATAACTAAGGGGCTATAAAAAAGGATGAAAAATCACACAAGTTGACTTAATCCCTTGTCATGGATGGGGCTGATAAGAAAAAAAAAAGAAATTACATCACAAAACAGGAAACACACTCAGTGTTTGACTCTTGACATCAAAGCTAGAGAATATCTCATCATTCTGAATCATTCTGAATAAGCTAGAGAATACCTGGCTAGATCTTTTTTCACTTCATTATGTATTAGTCTACTCCGCATTTCTCTAATTTCAGGTTTCACTTAACAAAAGACAAATTTTCACACATTAGCCAGGTAATCACAGCTCATCTTATATGTATCCTTTCTAATTAGTTTTTGACTTCTTACTATAGAACACTTTCATATTTAATACAATCCTTTACTAGAATTTCTACATTCATTTAACCAAAAAAATATACAAAAAAAATAATTATAAAATCATAGAACATTTGAATGTGACACACCTGTTTGTTCTGACATAAGTTTTCAAAGTTCATTCATTTAGATCACTGATTAAATCTTTGAATCTCTACGTTGAGTTTAATTTATCATATTTATAGCCAAGTTTAACCTAAAGTACATGTTGCTTTTTTTTAATAATAGTTGTATCAGTAAGCCATGGTCCAAGCCCTATGAATTTAAATGTGAAGAATGTGTTTTTAAGGAATATGAGATTTGATTATAACCCTTAAATGGGAAAATAATAGCTTGCCAAGTTGTTGATCACGAGGTCAGATCAATCATAAAAACTCTTGAATTTGCTTATTTATCGTTTAAAATTCTATAGCAAAGATGCATCCATGAGTGAGAGCACATCCCAAAATTTCTCACCACCCACTGACTGCCCTACGCTCACTGCGTCAACACCTCCCTCCGTCCCACGATTCACTTCTCTTGTCCCCTTATTTCTTCCTCCTCATTCGACTTTTAAGTTCAGGCATTCTTCTCTTTGTTCTGAAGGTATTTGTTATCAATTTCAGTGAGTTGCTTTCTTCTTTGTGCTCAAGTAGAATCTGTAATTGAATTTCAATTACATAGTCTCAATTAGAATCTGTAATTAGCTGTTTCAGCTTGTAGTCTGTGAGATCTAATCATGCTTATACTATTGGTTTTATAATGCCTAGCTTGCAAAGAACTAATGGTGTGTCACCCTAGCACAACATGTATACATACTCTCCTTACATGATGTGATACAATATATGGAGAA